TGACTTATTTTTATTATATAACTAGCTAAAAACCAAATTTAAAAAATAATACATACAATAAATACTATTTACAATCATAAAAAACAAGTTCTTTCATCTAGCATCTATTACAAAACAAGATTTTTTAACTAGATATATAATATAATAAAAATCAAATATAATAATTGAGCTCTGAACTATACAAGCCACTGTTCGATTGTCCACTTTATTTAAAATATATACTCTATAATAAATATTGCAATGAATAACATATAAGACATTGCAATTTGTATATCTCGATAGATACAAAGCAAAAAAAAAAATCTAAAAAGCACTTATCTAGAAAAAAATCACATTGTTCAAATATATTACCCTAATACCTGATTCAATTCCTCCACTGGAGGATTAAGAATTGGTCCAACTTTCGAAAATATTTCATCATCTTCGTATTGCATCATGCTGAAGTTTAATGTTTTCTCTTTTGTTGGAGAATATTTTTGATCATTAATATCTGCATCATCAATTTTGAAAGATGAATTTGTTTGTAATGAATGTTCTGGTTTAGTGTCGATTTCATTAGGTGGATATAATGATGGTGATATAAAATCTAGTGGATCTTTAGGGGATGGCGGTGGCGTCGGTGTTGTCTCCACTACCTCAGATGATAGCGAAGAGCTTTCGGTCAATATTATAGAATCAGAATCAGAATTGTCTTTCTCTAACGTTGTCGAGTTAATCGACGCAACAGAGCTAGTAGGAGTTGATGAACTTGAATCGCGATGATTGTGATTTGTTAGTATCGAAGCAATCCCTAACGACGCTGTTCTTCTGCGCATTGAAACACTATTACTCCACTTTTTCAGTGTTGAAGTGGATGAATTTGAAGCTGGTGTGTTTGTGATCGAAGTATCAGCAGAATAATCATCGGTAGAATCTCCCACATTACCAGAACCAGTCGAGTTTTTATTATTACTTCGCAAATCATCGAATCTTTTAAAATGTTTTCCTGCTATAGATCGTAATCTAGAATTAGTCTTAAGCAGATTAGGCTCGCTGAATGATTCGTGCAATGATGACAGTGATGACAGTGTTTTATTTATCCTCGATTTTGTTGGTATCCAAGTTGTAGAAGCATTAGATTCCAATTTTGTAGGTACTGTGTCAGCAACTGGTTTTTCTGATTGTAAATAGTATTTATTGTATGTATTATTTTTTAAATTTGGTTTTTAGCTAGTTATATAATAAAAATAAGTCA